GGGGGGGGGGGGGGGGGGGGTGACTTTGGGGAGTTTGGCTTTAAAGGAATATAGGGTGGTTTAGGCCCGTATCGTAGTTGGAGGCCTGTAGGGTTTTGAGGTTGCACCTTCAGGCGACTGCACAAGGCCCTGCTGCAAAAAAGGGGTGTGGATCAATCCACGATACAATACATCGACGAAGTTTACTGTTGAAAACATGCAATTTGAATCTAAATATCGATTTGGCCTTTCCGTAGTCTTCCTTACAGAGCCGGTCGGTTCTAAGTAGAATTGAGGGACAAGCCTTCAAAGGTTTGGACATAAGGGTTGAGGAGTTTTGGGTGTGCCGTCCTTCACGGTTAAAGTGCTGTGCCAGTGCTGTAACAGGCTTCTTTTCAGTTTCTTACCCATTGTTCTCGCAGAGACCGGCTTTAGAATCGTGGATTGTTCCTAAACCCTAAACCCCAACCCACCTTTCAAACACACCTAAACCCGAAAACGCCCTAAATTGTGCTTCGTGGTTGGTGGTTGATTGCTGTTCGGTCAAAGCTATACAGCCGAAGTCCGATTCCCAATTCCTGTGTTTTACCGACACTGCGGATGAGGTTTGGGGCTTAATTAGGGGGGATCTACTGACTGTGCTGTTTTTCGACTCTGGCACTCGAGTGAAAACCTTGCAGGCCGCAGCCGTTGACCCACAAGCCGAACCCTAGAAGCCCTTAGCTGACCACGGTTCAGCGACATCAACCCTAAACCCTAAACCAGGTGCAGCTGGCACAGGAGCAGCTCAGCCGATTGAAGCTGGACTGGTGAGGTGGGCTCGGCGAACATTCTCCTTGGAAATATGGGGCGGGGGGGGGGGGGGGGGGGGTTGCCACCATTGAATGAGATTCTTTCAATTTGGGATGTGTACAGGTTCCTTGAGAGATATCCATAGGTCTTGATAGGTCCTTCTGTGGCCTTCTTCGGTTCGACACGACCTCCAGGGTTTCCACCAACAAGCCTTAAACAATACATCTATCAATAAACCCGTCGGCAAACATCACAAGCTTTAGGGGGTTCTTAATCTGGGGAGGACGGCGACGGTAGAGTCGGGTATCCCCATGAAGAGGTCGCTCAAGCAGAACCCAGCGAAAGACTCGAGCGATAACTCAGGGCTTAATGTTGAAACCCACGGAGCATGCTCCGTGAAGCAACCATGCCCCGGCATCGAGAACCGTAATGCCAGCAAGACCAGTCATCGGAGCTGTTGATGCTTGATGAGTTTGGAGTCTCCGCCTGCCTCGCCGCAGACACTCTTTTATCTAGCTTCGCAATCAGCGCTTTGCCGACTATCGGAAGAAGCATCTCGATCGGGTGCCATGCGTGGTTTTGCCAAACTCTGCGCCTTGCTGGGCGTGTTTGGCCTCGTGTGCCCCGGCCGGTTTTCTTTAGGAAGCTTGGTCCATGGCGGTGCTGTTGTAAGAGAAAGTACCAGGCTTCGCGAGGGTAAAATTTTTGTGTTCTGCCAGAAGGAGTTCGTGCCTGCCAGAAGGCGCAATCGAAGAATCGCGAAAGCCTTTCGCAAAGGAGCACCGATGTGGAGTCCTCAGAGACTTCCCTCACCGCGGACGATGAGTGCAGCGGATTCTCGGATGGCACCCTTCAATTACCTCGGGGTGCCCTTCTAGTGATCCCGGGCCTTGGATGTTGGTGTCGGGGTGGACCAGTTGGAGCACAAGGTCACCTCCTCGGGAAAGGAATAGTGCCACGAATATAGGGTCTGAGTTAGCTGCTAGCTCTTGGTGGGTCGCAGTGGAAGGTCCAGCGATTAGGGGCTTTGGGCTTTTTGAGGTTGGTGGCGTTTGAGAAACAAGCTTGCGACAAGATCCAGGTATTTGAGCCGTCGATATCCTGTCTTCATTTTGCCCTCAGGCTCCTTGTTCCGATGACGGCCGGTTGTTCCGTATAAAGCGAGCTGGGTTTCGGTAGAGGAAGGGCCCCAACGACCGGATTCTGAATATCAGCGCTCCCCCTTCTCAAAGCCCTAGAAGACTCCATAGACTAAGAGAACCCGAGCAAGCCTTCACCACGAGCCCCTAAGCCTCAAAAGCCCTAAGACCATAAACCCGACCAGAGCACAGTTAGTAGTACAGTAAATGCCTGAACCTCCCGGGCGGCAGTCCAAAACTGCTATACAGACACGCAAGTCTTTGGGTCCCTCTTTGTCTCAGGTGAAACCTGCGCTCTGAATGCCTTGCAGCTCCGTGCTGGATCTGTGGAGGCCGCCGGAACCGTAACCTTTAGTCTCAGCCAGCATTTGCAGCAGGTGGCCAAAGCACGCGAAACCAATTATCGAAAGACTCCTTGTCGGGAGGCACGACACATGTACTGGGTCCTAAGGAGGAACCCATTGCAATATGTATTCTGGCACAACATGCAATTACATGAACTACATGTCCTATGTATAGTCTCCGTCAGCTTTGCCGCAAGCAAGTCGATGTTTGTGATTTTGGGATGCTCGTTTTTGTGATCGCACATTATCATTAGAAACGTTGCGGTCAACAATCGTGTCAGTAAACAGGATTCGCAGAAGAAGTGCCCAGCTGATTGAGATCGTTATCAGCTCTCTGTTGCACGCCCTGAGTCCCATCGCTCGAGTTATACCCCACTTTGCATTAAATTACTTCAATGGAGTCCGTCTAAAGATCGACAGACTCACACAGTTCGCTGGGGACCATGTCCATGATCTGACATGCTTTCAGCGTCTTGGACTTCGTTATGTTTAGGCCTGTATGTATATGTATATATATATATACACATACATACGTACATACATACATACATACATACATACATACATACATACACACACATATAAATAAAGACAAGTAACTAACTGTGTGTGTGTCTATCTATATATATATACATATATACATACATGCATGCATGCATACATTGGCATACATACATACATACATACATACATACATACATACATGGAAAAAATATACATGTGTGTGTAGTAGTCTCAGGTAAACTGAGACATTACACCTGTCTTGAATCAGGGAACTCAGTAACTTGGACACCCTACGAGCTAGGCCTTGTAATCAAGCCCAATCAGCCCTCTTCTAAGAGTTGATAGCAAGAGTTTAGGGCCAGCGCCATCGGATATTCCAATTTCTATGTAAACACAACTGACCCCTGAAACCAAATCCGGAACCCTGCACCAGACCCCCTGTAACAACCTATATACATATGAAAGCCTTGCAGCTCGGCATTTAACTGCATAAATCCTATGAAGCGCTGAAAAATGCTGTCTGCTACAGGGCAACGTTTCTGCGGACCTGGCCCTCTCGCAGGACTCCGAATATCTCCGTAGGGTTGTAGGTTCTGGGTATTAGGGGTTGGATTGGGGTTTCGAGGTACTAGCAGATTGGACTTCTGTGGCTTCATAGTTCGGGGCGGCTTCGGTGCTGGGTTTAGCTGCTGACAACGGTTTTGGGGTTTGTTTGGCCATGAGGAGCGGGATATTGGACAATCACCACAGGGGCAGAATGTGCATAATGACGATGGTATTCCTCAGGGTTCCTGATTGTGTTGTAGTAGGAAAGTCTCCCAAAACGCCACTCTCATTACTAAGGCCTCGATCTGTACCAAAGCCGATACACCCCAAAAGCAAACCTTAGACAACAAACCTCCATGGAAGAAGCCCGCTGAGAACGCTACAAACCCCAGTGCTACCAGATGACTATACCTTAGCAGATAAACCTTGAACCCGACTAATCGTTTCAGGAGGGTGGCAACGCTTCTTGGGCTTCCTGCGCTGCCTACGGCTGCCACGGCTACAGCCGATACAGGCCTTGCAACCGACTTTAGGGCTTATCGATACTGAGAAAATCTAGCAGAATAGAGTGAAATGCGATACAGGCAGGTTCAGCAAGCTTTAGGGGTTCGACCGTGGGTTCCATTTTCGTTTTACGCAGTTTTACATTTAAGGGTTGGATTCTGTTAGATTTTGGGTTGGTGGAGCTTCGGGGTTTAGGGGTCAGTCACTAGGAATTAGGGCCACTAGGGTTCATGATTTGGAATTTGTCGGGATGGGTCTGGGCTTTGCCGGCTTATGGCAGCATGAAGTGCCAAGTCCCAAATGACATGACCTGAACCTGCCGGGTGGCGCAATTAGGCTGTCAGGCCTGAAAGTGGTAGCGTGGCCGTACGTTTGGTACCTTTTGGCTACGGGTTAGGCCGCGAGCCTAAAGATTGGTTCACGCTTTAGAGCTTTGTAGAGTTACCTGAGCTGCCTGGAAGATGCCTTACACGACTGACCGGGTGTCTTCGGGGGACACATCTACGCCAGAAGCTCAAATCTCGCAAATCCAAAAAAGAACAAGTCAAACCGACCAAGCCCCTGCCCTTTCATCCTACAGCCCTACAGTACTGTTAAGCCTTACTTGCAACACGGATCTTGTGAACCAGGTCCCGGCTTAAAGCAAAAGAGAAGTCAAGTCTTCGGCTCACCCTCCTCTAAACTCACATGGCATTGAAAGGGGTCCCACGATAAACTAGTCCCGTTTAGTTTATTGGGTTACCATGTTACTGTGGGCCTGTGGGATGTTGGGTTTGGTAGTTAGGTTCGCCGTGTTCGCATGTAGTCCGAATCCTGCCGACATAGACATGTGCCTTTCAAGCGCGACAGGCCCTGCCAGTGCAACAGCAAGTGACCGGATGGCACTTGGAAGGATTTTCCCGGTTCTTGTGATCTTAACACCTGCCGGCCTGGTTCAGCCAAGCTCTGCCTTCCCCACACATAAGCCAAAGGTCCCAACTCCCCAAACCCTAAACAAACAATGCTAGGTCCCTTATAGTCCTTCTGCGGCGATACTACCCTGCACAAACCACCGAAATCTGATTCTAATTGTTAAGTTCCCTAAACAGGTGCAAGTACTATCACAATTGTTGCGGAGACTACTGGAACAGGTGCGCACCGGGCGGGCCATAGTCGAAAAACACACTTGTTGTTGCGCTCGTATTCTGGGGCCAGAATAAGTAGAAATAGGGGGGGGGGGTCATTTAAATGGGTTCTAGAAGGGCTACTTAGGACTATTGTAGCTGTTCCGGCGCACGTGCGCGGCTGTGTCTGTGTGCGTGTGCCCATCTCGTGTGCATTATGCATGTGCACACACCGTACAGCATTGCCATTTTTACACATGCATGTAGAGGTTGGTTTATCTTGTGCACCAGAATCCCCAAGCCGTTTCGAAGCACAAGCGCGCCCACGGCAGTGATATCTGCCCGAGGGCAAGCTGCCGGCCTGAACAAGACAGCGGCAGAAACGCTCAAGCAGAAGGGTCTGAACTATTTCAGGCTGTAGGGTGTTTCAGAAGGGCTTGAATACAGGGGCCTGCCTAAATGGACTCGAGTTTTGGCATCTATCATCGTTCAACTGAGGGACTCAGGGGAAGTGTTTCAAATTCTTGAGACCTCCATATCAGTCAGGAGAGGTGAGCTTGTGAACCCTTCCTCGGCCCTCAACTGTAGCATCTTCAAGCGCAGTTTTCTGTTGATCGATATTTTCTGTTTAGAATCCTGAAAAAGCACAAGTACTCCAGAAGGAGGCAAAACAGTGGAGGTTTGTCTGAACCTTAACCAGCGAGATCCAAGCCCTATGTCCTAAGCCCGAAGCCCCAAGTTTCTGAAGGTGCTATCGTCACCCGTCGCCGCCGCCTCCTCCTCCCCCTCAGTCGAAAGCTTCATGCGCGGCGATCCCATCGTGTGCCCACCTGAGGCCGCTGGAGAGACTTTATGGCCTTGAGGACTTTTGTTCAGGTTTGGGCTTTTTGCGTGGAGGTTTCGGTGTCTTTTGAGATCTTGTCCGACGTGGCCCATGCATCATGGAACAAAGCTGGCTTAGGGAGCATCGGGCAGGGGGCGTACTTTGAGCTGAAAGAAAACCTAGTTCGCTGGGAGCGGGCCAGTACACTGTGCACACGGCTTCAAAGAAGCGCCGTAATGACTCTGTGGGTGAGACTCTATAAACCGAAAAACGGAATCCTACTGCACTTTTTGGGACTTTAGTAATCCTAGCTCTACACCCAAAAGAAGCTTCCACACCCTCCCATCTCGAGACGGGTGCAGGTTGAGGCTTGGTTTCTTGACCCTAAACCCAAAACTAACGCTTTTTGCTGGCTGCTAGTTTCAGGGGAGCCCAGGGATCATCGGTCCTTCATGCAAGCGTCCTTTGACCGCATCCGATGCAGTGAAGGACGCACGTTGTAGAGCCAGCAAGCACAGCAACCTGGCACAGCCGCGTGTGCTGAACCCAAAGCAAGAGCCCCAAGCCTTAAACCCATGAACTTCATAAGGGAAGTACAGAAACCGAAACCACCACGCTCAGCAATAGCATCCGGTTGTTCTCTAGAATCTTGAAGCACCTCCGAGAAGAAGGTGGCTTAACTTTCCCATTTCTTCTAAGCCCTGCCTCCTACACCCTAAACCCTACACCCTACACCCTACAGTTTGTGAAGCACCTTTGGGCAGCCCTGCTTGCAAGGCTCCACGGCGACTGCTGCCCCACACCCCATGGCCTGCTGCCTGCAGTTTCGAGACCTGGAACCCTAAACCCGCTTAGTAGCTGCGGGAGCCCGCAGCTACTACATAGAGTATGTAGTATGGTATCACTATACTATACTTTATCCGGCTTAGGGGTTACGGTATTATAGTACAGTAAAGTTGCTTTGCTGTGCTATAATACCGTAACTCCTAAGCCGGAAGCCCCTTATGCCGCAGCCCACATTCGCAACCTTGAGCTGACCAGACCATCACAGACGCCTCGCATGGAGTCGAAACCCTCAACAAGGGTTTCGTTCCTAGGCCTATCAATCCTAAGCCCTACGGGCAGGAAGAAAAGTCCTGCCGCCCTAAACCCGAAGTCCTAGAGATCCAGAGAGAACAGGGGAGCTGGACAAGCTTCTGGCTCTCAAGTGTCCTGCGGCCTTCTGCTGTACCAAACTCCAGCATCGGCAGTTGTATGTTTTAGAGTTGCATTCGAAGAAGTCTGAGTTCAGGGCGAAAGCAAGATGAATAGGACTTTGGGGCAGTTGTCAGTTGTCAGTTTGTTGTGGAACGGGGACTTAGGACTGTTTCTGTTCACTGAGGCTGTGGCCCATGTATCCGACTTGCGACATCAGCTTGTGCATGATGGCATCTCTGGACCATGAATGCCTACTCTTGAATGACCTAAGACTCCTGCACCTGACGAGAACCCTATACTCCACTTGTCCATGCTGCAGTCCTCTTCCCTATCGAATTTCCAGACCCTGGCTTGCAGAGCGTTGTCCAAAGATCACGGTTCAGCGGCACCGATCGTATCCTGGGGTTGTCCACGCTTTTCATTCCCTGGACAACCAAAACCAGCAAAATAAAGGTCTCTCTGGTTTCGATGTTAGAGTTTACCCTGGACTCCCAAATTGTCGAGTTATGAGGGGCTGCTTGGAGGGCAAGGTTCAAGCCCCAAGCAGTAGAAGCGGCAAGCAACGCCTGAAAGCGCTGCAGCCCAAGCGGAGGCGACTACCTCGGTTGCTGTCCAGACAGCATGGTGCCCCACCCGACCGCACCGCCACCAAAGCTAGAACACGGCCGCCAGGTCGGTTGGAAGTTGGCTTGTTGAAAGTGATTTATACATATATGTATAAATATATGTATATATGTATATATAATAAATATGTATATACACATACGTGTATATGTATGTACCTGTATACAAATCTGCGTATATAAGTGTGTATATACACACATATACACATGTGCATATACATACACACACACATATATATATATAGATACATCTGTATATACATATACATATACATATATATATATATAGATATTGAGTACCAGCCTAAATAACGAGAGCTGTATTCTATGCAGCTCCCCAATACAATTATGGAGCCAAGCTCTCACAGACCCCCAGGCCTCTGTAGTAGCCAGAGCGCCCAAAAGCCGCTGTTGGTGAAGAATCACGGCCTCTTGTTCTGAATTCAGGGATGTGCAGAGGAGTTTGGGAGCAGGGTTTCGGAAGGGAGGAATGAGGCTTTGACTCGACCCTAAACCCGAAATCTTAAGCCCTACTGACGCTGCGGAGTTTGCTTGGTGTCAATTTACCAATAACCTGGCAATCTCTGGGACTGGTTACTTAGGATGATGAACTATGCCCTGTTATCGTGTGGTGCTTGGGTGGTGTAAGACTGATCGCAAACTCAGAGAGTAGTCATGAAGGCGTAGTTGGACACAGAGACCTCGACTGACGGAGTCCGAGTTGCGAGGGCGTAAACCCTACATCATCCGTAGCCCTCAACCCTACACTTACGCCATAAAGCTCGCTATCAAGCACGAGGTATGGGGCTCTCCCACCATTCCTGCCCAATTCACGGTTTTAGAGACTTGTCGATCCTCACCGGAACCTCACCATGTCCTCAATTTCGCTGACAGATCCTGACGGTCTACCATCAGACAAGCCCGCAGATCTGCAAGCTCATCCTCGCGCCACGTGGCTGCACTTAGATATTTATATCGTGTACTGATTCAAGCTAGAATCTAGAAGGGAACGTTGTTGTTTGTTTTTCGGGCCGCAACATTACCTATCCTTCCCCACTCCTGCCAGATGAACGTTATCGTGAATTAGGGCGCATGTTCGAGGAATTCCCCGGACACATCGAAGAAGGGGCCATTTGGGGTTCCATGACTAGGTTTAGGGTTTGGGATTTTAGGGTTGAGACATTCTGGCTACCAAGAAGCTGATGTTTCAAAAGGGTTGTGGAGATGTTGCAGCTCGCCTTGCTTACATAACCCCCCCAAAAAAAAACCTATTCAGATCCTGCAGGAATGGTTTCAAGCTCGGCCACAGCGGTTGGTGCGGGGGTGCCATCTACTTCGCCATGAGTCCGCAGGCCGGTGACCTGCCGTAGGGGGTTCGGTTAGTGACTCTAGGGCTCTAGGATTTGTTGACGGGGGCCCTGAACAGTGGTATCAGGGCATTTTAAATCGGAGAGAGCCCGCAAGCTTTCCGCGGATCCTTGTGGGTTTAGGGTTTGGGGATTGGGCACATCAGTCGCAAGGCAACGAAGACGAAGGCAATCACCCCACACTCGGGCGAACCTTGGCATGCAATGGTGGCTACTGCCATGACTTACGGAGATGGGCTGCGGCTTCTGAAAAAGGGGATCTAAAGTCTAACTAGCAAGGCTTTCGATAAGAGTTAACAAAATGCCGCTGAAATGTCGCATGCTATGTTCGAAGTACAGTGCAAGATACTCGCTGTTGCGATGATAGCCCAAAGACGACATGCCACACGAAGCTTGCTACTTCGAGTTTTAGGTTGCGAGGAGATCCCTTCTTCGCAGAACCCCTGGCAACGTTACACTATGTTGCAGCGCCTTCTTCTACTGACCTAGGCTTCTAGAGCACACCCCCCAAACTCCAGACTTTAAGGTGATGGATTTCAGCTCACAGTCTTGTCTGTCGAAGGGAGCTGTGGAATTCATTCTGCCTGGTGTTGAAACCATGAGTCGAAGCTACCTGCGCACCTGCAGTCATCAGTTCCCCTGTTGTGTGGTATTCGGCTTCAAACGATCTGATGTACGTAATATTACGCGCGGAAAGGCCCCAACCAGTACTTGCAGCACACCCGGAACCTTTAAAAAAAGACCCCAAACCCTTCAGCCCAAACTCTTAGTCCCGAAAGCGACGCTTTCAATAGGATAGCCCAAAAGTGCAGATAATCCCAGTCTGACTACTAAGGCCCCATACGGAGCCCTCGAATCAAAAGCCTAGACAACCCTGCAAGATCACCTTGCAAAGCCCAAAACCCTACTGAGAAGAGCGAGGTCGGCTGCATGATCGAGGCAAAGGTGGATGTTGGGCGGCAGAAGAAGTTTCCTTGCTGCCGTGCCTGGGACGCTTTCGGGCCCCCAATTTGCGTTCGACTTCGGGGCTTTACTCTGGTCCCCAATGCTGGTTCATGCTTTTGACTATACCCAATGTTATACTTCAGGATCCTGTAGAAAAATGGGTAATGTTATATCCCCCCCCCCCCTGCATTTCCTGGCTT